GAACAAAACAGCATGACCGAGACAAGGAAAACACACCGAAAAACCAAACGAATCCCAGCATATCAACATACACCACGAAAATGGCTCCCAAATCGTCCCAGATTTCCCCCTTACTCCCCCCCCCCCGGGGGCCCATAGGCCGTGCCACGGTCGGCGCCGTCGCTCTCGCGGCCTTCGCTGCGCCGCCACCCCAACGCGACGAGCAGTGGCCAGATCGGTCGGCACCGCGTCGGGAAATCGGAGCGAATCGAAACGTGCGTCGGATGGGGCTGGCCGAGTCGGATCGGCTGCGCCTGGATGCGCACCAGTGTTGAGTCGGGCCTGTCCCCCTACAGGAGGATTTTCGACGAAAAGTTAAAAATACCCCAAAAATGATCCAAAAATGATCCACAAATAATCAGGGGACTTTTTTTTGAGTATTCTCTGGCCTTTTTGGCATACTTTTGGGGTACTTTTGTTTCCTCGTCGACAATCCCCCTGTAGGGGGACACGCCCGACATAACACTAGTGCCAGACGACGACGACGACGACGACGACGACGACGACGACGACGACGACGACGACGACGACGACGACGACGACGACGACGACGATGCACGGTCGGGAACTTTGGGACAGCGTGCCGCCGCGGCGGCCCCGGCGACACGCTACGCCCTGCGAGCGGATAGCACGCTGCTCCGCTCTGCGGGGCGAGGGGCTCGGACAGGCTCGGGATGTGGACGCCTCGGGGACCGGGAAGCGGATCTGGCCATCGCTCGGACGCTCACTCCCTGTGCTTTTTTTCGGCTTCGTGCGTGGCTTCGCCAGATGATCCAGGATGCTCCTCGATGGTCCTCGTCGGAGGGAGACTGCACACGTCCGAGCGCGATGCCGAGGGATCGGGGGTCGAGCCGAGGCGCGGCGGGCCGGGAGCGGCGGAACGGCACGCGATCCCAGGAGTTTCCGCCCGCATTTGGAAGAAGAAAAGCGGCATGCACTTACAGTCGGGGCGTTGGCCTAAGGACCCCCCCCTCAAAAAAAAGGAACGAGGCCCCTTTTCTCCCATTAGTTAAACTTCGATTGCCCCTCGAAAGCCTGAGTGACACGTGGGGCAAACTGCAGAACAGTCAAGGAACGCCGAGCCCCTCCTCAACGAAAAAGGTTCCTTCTTCAGCGCTCCGACTGTAAACTTTGGGCGTTCCGCGCGGATTTCTTGGATCCGTGCTGGACACCCCTCCCTGGCGCGCGGAGCGCGCCAGGGGCGGCGCTGGAGGCGCCGCTGGGGGGGGCCCAACGCGGATCCAGGAAATCCGCGCGGAGCGCAGTTTATGTTTATGTTGTTTTTTCTTCTTCGGGTATCGGAATCGGCTCGAAGGTGTGGGGATCGATCTCGAAGCGGATCGATCGGATCGACGCGGGTCGGATCGGCATGGGCCCTGCGCCCCCCCCCCCCCCCCGACGAGCAGCGGGATGGCGGGGCGCAGAGAAGCCGCAAGGTCGCTCGCCTGGATCGGCCTCGTCGAAGAGCCATGGGCTGGTGGAGCCGCGGGCGCGGGCCATGTGAGCATGTCTTGGCGAGCAGGAGGAGAGATCCTCGTCGTCGTCGTCGTCCTCGTCCTTCTCCTCCTCCTCGTCCGCGGCCCCCCAGGTGCTCGCGCGCTCCGACAGCGATCTGACCAAAGCGCACGCCGTCTGGACTGTCCAGGCGTCCCGCAGATGGAGCGTCCCAGACATCCGCCATGGTGCTTGCACGATGGCGGGGGGTCAGAACACGTGTTAGCTGTCTGGCAGGGCTTCTGTATTGCTGCCAGGGGCGAAGTGCCCACCTCGAAGCGCGCCCGCCCGCCCCCCCCCCTCCCCCTGTAAATAAGGGCTCCCAACTTCGCGCTTCGCGCTGCGCGAAGCGCGAAGTGCGAATAACTTCGCCCTCTCGCGCCGCCTCCCAGGGGAGAAGAGGAGGACGAGGAGGAATCGGAGCCGAACCGCGAAGCGCGAAGCGCGAATAACTTCGCGCCCTCGAGGGCGCCCTTGGTAAAGCTGCACTGGTCTCGCTCTCTGGCGATGTTTTTGGCCTTCCGGCGGCTCAGCTGCTGCCGGAGATCACTCTAAAACGGTTGCAGACTGGCAGGAAACCAGTCAAAGACAGCCCAACGACCTCGCAAAAGTTTCAATCTGTCCACAAGAGGCCTCAAACGGCCTCCAGAGGACCCCAAGAGACGCGCAAACGCGCTTCCAGTGAAACCCGAATCTGTCTCTAGTTGAGCGTCTCTGGGGATCCTCTGGGCGTAGGCTGTTCAGGGAGTTTGTTCGTTCCCAACCACCGACCTCCTCTTCGTGAAGGGGTTCATCCCTTCCCCCTTCCCCCCCTCTCGCCTGAGTCTGGCAGGGGGGGGTCAACCCATGGCAGCGTCCAAGATGACATTGGATGACCCAAGATGGCCTCCAAGATGGCGCAATGTAGCATATGGTTTTCAACATACCTCCAATGTGCCCCAATACCACCCTTAGTGGACACGGCGCCTCCCAACGATCTCGCAAGAGCCCGACATCTTCTAAACACCATTCGCCTTGAAAATGGCTTTGCCTTTCAACCTTGACATTCGGTCGCGCATGTCCTCCTGCAGGCGGACTTGGGAGGACGAATGAAACATAGTTTTAAAATGCTCAAGAATGCTCCTGTAGGGGGAGAGGCCCGACTGAACCTCAACACGGCTCGAAAAGCTCGCCAAAGAGCCCCGATAGAGAGCCACAAAGACTCCGTGGCTGCTGCCCCAGGGGCGCCCAGCAGCGCCCCACAAGGGCTGCGAGAGGCATTTTGGTTCGGGCTCCGACGGTGTGCGGTTGCCCCGCCGCCTCGCGCGGCTGCCTCTGGCTGCTGCCCTCCCCGGCTGCCCCGCGGCCGCCGCCCCACCGCCCCGGCGCCTCTCCGCCGCGGCCTGGCCCCGCTCTGAGCGGGCCCGGCTTCCGTCTCCCTCCCGCCCGCGCCAGGCCTTCCCCCTCCCTCCTCTAGTGCACCGCGGCCCAATTCGAAATTGTATGTCCTCCATTTGCCCCATCCGTCAGCGCAGTCAATCTGCCTAACCGACGACGCAAAAAGTGTCTGTGTGTGTTATGCGTGTTGTGTGTTGTGTGTGTTGTGTGTGTGTGTTGTGTATGTGTGTGCTGTGTTGTGATGTGTTGTGTTGTGTTGTGTTGTGTTGTGTTGTGTTGTGTTGTGTTGTGTTGTGTTGTGTTGTGTTGTGTTGTGTTGTGTTGTTGGTGGTGTTGGTGTTGGTGTTGGTGTTGGTGTTGGTGTTGGTGTTGGTGTTGGTGTTGTTGGTGTTGGTGTTGGTGTTGGTGTTGGTGTTGGTGTTGGTGTTGGTGTGCGTGCGTGCGTGCGTGCGTGCGTGCGTGCGTGCGTGCGTGTGTGTGTGTGTGTGTGTGTGTGTGTGTGTGTGTGTTTGTGTGCGGGTATGAACTTAGTGCAGACACTTCGATCACTGCTAAACTCATGGGGCCGCCTAGCGCTTCTGACGGAACCTGCAAGCTAAAGGACATCACAGGGAAGGCTTTTGAACCAAGGTGGCTCCACGATGGCCCAAGGTGCCTTAGTATGGCCTCCAAGAGTGCGCAGTATGGCTTCCAGCATGCCTCCAAGAGGGCCCAAGATGGCTCCAAGTGGTTTCGAAGCCTCCCAAAGACGCCCCCGAAAGACTAACATCATTCGACAATGTATGGTTTCCGTGATTTGGGCATTCTGGCCTTTTCGCTTCCCATAGGTTTGAGGGTTTTCAAATGGCTCCAAGATCGCCCACGGGAGCCCCAAGAGGGGTCTATGAGGGCGCCAAGACGGGCCCAGAAAGGCACCAGTGGGCGAATGTTCGGTCTCCGACGGGAGCCCTCGAGCTCACGCCGCACCTTTCTTTGATCGATGGCGTTTTGGATTGGCTCTCGGCGTTCCCGGAGGCCTCTCGTGCAAGCCCTTGGGCCTCTTGGGGCTGTTTCTCACATTGGATTGTCCCGGCGGCTTCGCGCAACGTCGTTTGGCCGTCTGGGCGGGAAGTGGGCTAGAGGAGGAGGAGGAGGAAGAGGAGGAGGAGGAGGAGGAGGAGGACGAGGAGGAGGAGGAGGAGGACGAGGAGGAGGAGGAGGAGGAGGAGGAGGAGGAGGAGGACGAGGAGGAGGAGGAGGAGTTGGAGGAGGAGGAAGATAAGGACGCAAAAGAGGAACCGCAAACGTCCTTGGACGCGCCAGGGGGCCCTGGCGCAGTTCCCCGAAAACCGCGCGGAGCGCCAACAGCTTATCTTTATCCAGTTTGTGTTCTTCGATGGTCGCCATCCTGGGCCGTCGTGTGCCTGTGTTGGGAGGGCTGGCAACGAGACTGGGATGTTCAGGAGGGCCCGAGTGCTCCGGCAGGGCCCATGAGGCCTGCGAGGGGCGAAAGAGTTTAAAACAAGGGTGGCCCCTGTTTGGTCTGTAGACGCGGGAATCGGACCGTGTTGATGCCCATGTGCGCATTGCGAAACATCGTGTGTCGGAGTACGGTTGGGCCTAGGACATCCTAACGTCCTTCGCGAACATGAGACCCTCCGCCTGCCACTGAAGAACATTCGAGGATATCCTCCCCCAGGAAGAAAGAACAGACAACAAGCACGAAAAACATTAGGGCACCGTCCCCGAACCGACCTCGACGTGCCCAAGTGGACGACGCCGACACCAAGGCAAACACGTACGGCCGCGCGTCGGAAAAGAAGGGCGCAGCGACATGTGCACATTGCGAAGCATCGTATGTAGGAGCATCCCAGAACGGGCCTGTGTATGTCACTGGGGCGCGGGCCCAACAACTCTGGTGGTTCGAACGGAGGTCACCCTTCGATCAGACGTCTGAAGGCATCCACGTCAGACTCGTGCCCGCCCAGTGAGTTTCCGAAGCGGCCAGTGGGAGGAGGGCGATGAGAAGGTGGAAGGAGGAGCGGGAGGAGAAGGAGAAGGAGGAACAGGTCTTGGAGGAGAAGGAGGACCTGCTTGTCGAGTGAACCAGAGAAGCCCCCTGGGCAGTCCTTGCTGGGAAGCGCACAAGAAGAGACGGCAACACGAACCTGGGAAGGCCAGCGTCCGTAGCCCGACAACCCCGTCGACAAATCCCCGCACGCGCCCTCCGGGAACACCGTCGGCAACTCTCTGCAGTTCCCACGCGCCCGACCCTTCGAACGCCCCTCAAGCGATCGGCCCCTGGGTGCGCATCCCTGTTGACAATCCCCGGGGCTCTCAAGCGGCCTAGATTTAGGTCGGGCATGTCCCCCATACAGTGGGATTTGGGGCGAAAGCTTATACATACCGCTAACACACTCCAAAATAGCTAACAAAAATGCTCAACAAATCGTCCCCAAACGACTTTTTGATTATGTTTGAATTTTCCTCCTGTAGAGGGACAGGCTCTGTTGACAGCTGGAGGGGGAGGAGGAGGAGGAGGAGGAGGAGGAGGAGGAGGAGGAGGAGGAGGAGGAGGAGAAGGAGGAGGAGGAGGAGAAGGAGGAGGAGGAGGAGGACAAGGAGGAGGAGGAGGAGGAGGAGAAGGACGAGGACGAGGAGGAGGAGGAAGAGGAGGAGGAGGAGGAGGAGGAGGAGGAGGAGGAGGACGAGGACGAGGAGGAGGAGGAGGAGGAGGAGGAGGAGGAAGATGAGGCTCTCAAGCGGCCTAGATCGGCCCCGTGTACCCCTCCAGTACCGCGAACGCACGTCTCCGCCTCCCTGCCCCGCTCTCCCAGCCGATCGGGCTCTGGCTCCCCAGCTTCGCAGCTGCTTGGCGGCGCGCACAAGGGGGTGGAGGGAGGGTGGATATGGGCCGTGCCCCTCGAGTTTCGAGTGGGGTATCCCCAACTTGGGTGGTGATTTGGCGGGGGTCTCGAAGGGGATGGGGATGGTGATGGGGATCGGTTAAACGATGCAGCCCGTGGGTGCCCCCCTCCAGCCCCTAGGCGGCGCGCGCAAGGGGGTAGGGGGAGGGGGGTGGGCCTCTTAGACTGGAGGCTGCTTCTTAGAAGGCGCCGTCCTTACATCTATAGAGAAGGCCCACGCCTTCTCAGAAGCAGGGGTGCTTCTAGGAAGCCCTCCCCCCTCCCCCACCCCCCTCTGCGCGTGGCTGAACTGTACTTTCGGGGGCACTGCGTCTCCTCCTCGCACGCCCGCGACGCCCGCGAGTCCGCGCTCTGGGCCCTGCTTGGCAGTGCCCGCGCTCACCTGGTGGCGTTTCAGACTCTGGGCACAAGGTGGGCGCTCGTTCGAGCGACACGGGGGGAGCAGCCGGAGGGGAGGGGCAGATGGGAGCCATGATGGGTGTGGGATCCGGGAGGGCAGAAGGTACGAAGGCTCTGCACCAAATATCACCAATGCCACTGAACAGCGACTCTGTCAGGCCTCGCACTCACCGCCGCTCCACCTGTCGCTCCTAGCTGGGCTTGCGAAGGTGCCTGTCGAGCCACTCGTCAAACTTGTCGACCGCCTGCTCGAACGACACCTCTGTTGCCTCCCTCTCCTCTTTCTTCTGCCTCTCTGTCTCCTTGATCGAATAGCGCGAGTTGGCCCGCTGAATGAGCGTGGAATGCGTCACGGGTGGGCTATCCGTCGACTTTTTTCTGTCGACCTGCTGACGCGCCAAGGACGTCTCCGGCACAACCTCTGAATCAACGGAATACCGCTGGTACATGCGTTCTTTGAGTTTCTCGGGGGCCAGGGCAGTCTTTTGGATGTCCGTATGCGACATCCAGCCGTGGACAGTGGTCGCCGCCAGCTCCCCGTCCGAACGCCGGATGATCTCTTCTATGCTGACGTCGTCGTCGATGCGCAGGCACTGCCGGAGGGTGAGCCCGTCCCGGAGGTCAACGAACTTTTCCTGCCTATGTCGGATGCACCTTTCAGCGCTCCAGGCCTTGATCATCTGGTCTGCGTTCGAGCCGGCGAACCGCGGGCCTTCCCGTCGGCTGACCCCGTCTAGTCTTTTCTGGGCCTCTTCGAAGCGCGACTGGCCAGAGGGCTTGACCATCCGGTCGATGGCCCGCGCGACCTTCCTGCCGAGAGCCTCTTGGTCCTGCGGCCTCCAGCCCCTCGGCAGCGCGCCCGTGCTGGCAGTCGCCCGCTCTTGCCTGGTGTTGTTGGTCAAGGCCAGCGGCGACGTCTGGAAGGTCTTGGAACCGCTGGCGCTGCCGTGGGGATCCATCGGCACTGGCAGAATGGGCTCGTTGTCTGGGTCGTGGGTCAAGCGGTAGTTCATCTTATTGTTGTACACGTTCAACTTTCTTTGGGCCTTCCAGAAGCGGCGCTCAATGTGCCACGGGTCATCCGGGTCGTCTTCCGCGACGTTATTGTGCGCAGCCTCCATCCTCTTGATGGCCTTGTGCGTCCGCGGGCCCGTGTGCAACTCTGAGCACACGGCCCCCGTGCTCACCTCGTCGATCGCCGTCCTCTTGCTGAGCTTGCTGGGCGGCCTGAGCGCGGCCAGGCCGTTCTCGACTGGCCAGCTGTCTTTCCATGGCGTCGCGTCGTCCTTCGGCGGCGAGCGAGGGGGGTAAGTGAGAAGGAGATGGCCTTCTCAGAAGGCTCGGAAGCCCCCTGGCCTTCCGAGAAGCTTTCTGAGCCTCCCCCGGGGACGCAAGAAGCTCCTCGGAAGGCCCGAGGGCTTCCGAGAAGCCCCGCCGCCTTCTGAGGAGGCCTCTCCTTCTCACCTTCCCCCCCTCGCTCGCCTGGCGGCGGCGTCCCCTCCTCCCTCCTCCCTCCTCCCTCTTTCCCCCACAATTATTCAATATGAATACTACTCTCCCTCTTCCCCTGATGACGGTTTGAACGTGGCCGACCCCCCCCCGCGTACTGTTTTTTTACACGCAAGTTTCCCCGGAGCTGGGTTGTCGCTTGCATATTTTTTTCTAAAATGCTGCTCCCGCTGAGGCGCCGGCCTCATTTTCGGGCCCCGCTCGTTCCGAATCGTGTTCCCGCTGCAGCGCTGGCCTCATTTCCGTGCTTCCGCTCGTTCCGAATCGTGCTCCCACTGCAGCGCTGGCCTCATTTCCGCGCTTCCGCTCGTTCCGACTCGTGCTCCCGCTGCAACGCTGGCGTCATTTCCCGTGCCATGCCACGGCATGCAATGCAATGCTAGGTTGATGCTACGCTTTGCGGTGCTCTTCTACGCCATGCCATGCCGTGCTCTACAATGCATCGCGTACCCTTTCGGGATCATTGCCCTGCTCGACATCCGACTGAGCGAGTAGAGAGGGGATCTGCGCCATGGTAATTGATGGGAGGGAGGGGTAGGATGTCAGATATGACGCGAGCGCACCTAGCTTGTCCCTCCCCCTCCCCCCTCCTCCCTCTGAGGGTCCTGCTCTGCCGTCGGCGAGGGCTCCCCGGCCGCAGCCGGGCGGGCGCCCCTGCCCGGGAGGCGCATATCCGCGCGGCGCGCGGCGCGAGCGGCTGCGGCCCTGGGGAGCCACAGGCGCTCCGGGCACGGCTGCCACCGGGGGCGGGGGTCGAACAGGGGATGCACAGGGGGGATACACAAGGGGGGATGCACAGGAGGGGATGCACAGGGGGGGATACACAGGGGGGGGATACACAGGGGGGGGAAACACAGGGCGTCGCATGGGGGGGGGGGGAGTACACAGGGTGGGGGGGAGCGTCGCATGGGGGGCGAATGCGTGGGGGGGGCGAATGCGTGGAGGGCGATACATGGGGGGCGATGCCATGGGGGGGCGATGCAGTGGGCGGGGGGGAGGGCCCTGAAGGCCCCCTGTTGGGCCCTGGAGGGCCCCTCCAGGGGCCCTACGAGGGCCCTTTTTCTGCAGCCCTCGCTGCTCATTTATTATTGCCCACAGGGCGGGGGAGGCTGGAGGCCGTCCCGGGGTCGTCCCGGAGCCGTCTCGAGGCGGTCTTGCAGGCCATCCGCTCGGGGGCGTCCTGGGGCCATCCTGGGGGCGGTCGGGGTCCATCTCGGAGGCTCCTAGGGCCGTTCTGGGAGCGATCTCGAGAGAAACATCTGGATGCATCAAACATGTGTGAGCACGCGCTTTTATATTTAAGAGTTTCGCCTTCGGAGGCCATTCGCAACTCTGTCTTGGAGCCTCTTGGGCCACCTTGGCGCTATCCATACTATTATTCTTCTTATTCTGAATACTCGTATTATTACTTCAACTTGGAGTACTACTACGGTTACTATTGAAATGTTTATTACTACTATTGTTGTTAGTCGTCCTCTTCTCCTTCTTATGGTTTACATTGTACTTGTTATTCTTACTTATTCGTCGTATTTAGAATCCAGTATTACGATTGTTATGATTCTTCTTGCTCTCCTGAATATTATTACTACCAACACACATGCATGTGTTTGTGTGTGTATATATATATATACATGTGTGTTGGAGGGGATATCTTCGGGTCCCGTAGCGGGTCCCGTGTTAGGCCGCCTGGGCCGCCCCTTCGGACGTCTTGGGCGCTAGGCCCGGGCCCTCCAGGTGCAATGCGGAATCAAACACGGCCAGCCCCCCCAAAAGTGTTCGAACACCGATCCTTACGTGTTTGACTACGTTTGGCGGTCCGAGGTTTCTGCTGAGACAGTCGTGGGGCCTCTTGGGGCCATCCTGGGGTCCTCCGGGCTCTCTTGGAGTGGACCTCTGGGGACATCTTGGCGGGTATTATGATGTTCCAACCTACTTTAGCTTGGATCACCAGACTGAGTTTCGAGCACCAGGAAACACTCCCAAACTCGAGGGTTTTAACGTGTCGGGCCCTGGGAGACACTCTTTCGACACTGTTTCGACACTCTTTTCCAGGTGCTCGAAATTATTTCTTGGATGTGGTCCTCAAGTAAGATGGAAACAGCAGAAGGCGAGTACTTGGGCCGTCTTCTTGGAGCCTTCTGCCAGGGCCCAGAAAAGGGGGCCTCCAGGGAAGGTCCTGAAGCGGAGCCGGGACTCAGTGTGCTTCGATCGGGTCGGGCGAACGGGGGGGATAGCAGAGGGGGGGGTGATAATCGGTTCACGTAGCTGATCTTCCCGGCGCTTCCCGGCGCCGGAGGCGGCCATGTATCTAGCAATGGGCCCCTGGGTGGGCCCATTCCTAGTAGTGGTAGTAGTAGTAGTAGTAGTAGTAGTAGTAGTAGTAGTAGTAGTAGTAGTAGTAGTAGTAGTAGTAGTAGTAGTAGTAGTAGTAGTAGTAGTAGTAGTAGTAGTAGTAGTAGTAGTAGTAGTAGTAGTAGTAGTAGTAGTAGTAGTAGTAGTAGTAGTAGTAGTAGTAGTAGTAGTAGTAGTAGTAGTAGTAGTAGTAGTAGTAGTAGTAGTAGTAGTAGTACTAGTAGTAGTTGTAGGAGTAGTAGCAGTAGTAGTAGTAGTAGTAGTAGTAGCAGTAGCAGTAGTAGTATAGTAGTAGTAGTAGTAGTAGTAGTAGTAGTAGTAGTAGTAGTAGTAGTAGTAGTAGTAGTAGTAGTAGTAGTAGTAGTAGTAGTAGT